AGTTGTATAATGTGGTCAGCCTGACTAGATATCCTGAGAGATGGTGGACGGACCGGGTCCGTAGGGAACCCTACCGGGATTGTGGTCTCCCATACCGGACGGGGTATGGGGACGGCCCGTTTCACCCTCATACCAGACGGGGTAATGAGGTTTATAGTTTTGGCGCCCATACCGGACGTGGTATGGGGACGGCCCTGGAATATGATTTCAAGTGTTAAGGGTTAACGGGTAGCGGGACCCCTATGGATCCCCATGGATACTAGTGGGCTGGTAAAAGAGGAAAAATATGTTGTGTAACGATTGAATTACAAAAGGCTTGATAAGTATTATGTTATACAGTTCATATATGATTTCATGATGATGATAATGTTATTGCTTTCGTATACTGTTTTATGGATTCCATCGAGGTAAGTGGATGGTGAAGGATTTATTATTGATAAAAGAATTTGTTGTAAATTATGCTCCATTAGGCTTTTTGTGTTTTCTACTCACCTTTACCTCCGTGACGGTGAGATATCGTGATGTCTTTACTGGGCTAGTGTCGCTCATTCCTTATTTAATCATTTCAGATCAAGAGGACATCGTTCCCGAGCCGGTTCCGCAGGAGGACGACAAAGGGGACGCCTAAAGACTCCATAGTCATATTCGTAGCTTTTACTTTCAAGTTTCTCCTTTAGGTAGTTTGATCTTTTATATTTTGTGAGCACGTTTTTGGTTTTAGTGTAAGGGATGTTATTCGAATTTTGACTTCGCTTCCGCATTTGATATTTCTAATATACATTTCATTTTAAATTTCCGGGGCTTTACATAAATTCATTAGGTTATGTACCTGGAGTAGCACTCATTTCTCAGTAGAGAAAGTGGAACGTTACAATTTCATCATGTTAATACCTCTCTTCTTCCATTTCCTATTCCCATATGATTATAATTATTTGAATGATTCCTCTATTATGATTATACAGTTGTTGATACAAAGTCACTTAACCAATTAGGGGACCTCCTAATTCTAGAACTATTACCCCTTATCCATTATGGATTTATCCATTTTATCATTCACCTAATTTCACACCTGAATATATGTGTTTCTTGGTAAAAGTTTCTAGTATTTTAGAACCAACGACTTTTAAACAAGCATTTACTGATGCAAATTGGATAGTTACTATGCAAAATGAATTGCAGGCCTTTGAAACGAGTGAGACTTGGGAGTTAGTTGATTAGCTTGTTGGAAAAAGACTTATTGGATCAAAATCAGTTTACAAAATTAAATACTTACCTGATGGTTCTATAGATAGGTATAAGTAAGACTTGTTATTAAGCTATAACCAAATTGAGGGTATCGATTATATTGATTCATTTTCTCCTGTTGCCAAGTTAGTGATTGTTAGGATGTTTCTAGCACTAGCTACTGCTAAACATTGGTCTATTCATCACTGTGATACAAATAATGTTTTTCTTCATGGTACATTACATGAAATATATATGTTACCACCACAAGGTTATGATAAAGCTTTACAAGATCAGGTTTGCAAATTGAAAAAGTCCCTTTATGGGCTTAAGTAGGCCTCTAGGGAATGGAATCATGCTTTTACACAACATTTACATGATTATAGCTTCACTCAGTATGCCCATGATCATTGTTTATTCACTTTATCTTGTCACCAAAAATTTTTTGCCCTCCTTATTTATGTTGATGATGTTTTAGTTACGAGTACTAATGAGTATGATATTATAATAGTTAAAGCTTCTCTTCACCAGTAGTTTACTATGAATGACCTGGGGCATGGTAGACATTTTCTTGGTGTTGAAATTGCTAGGTCTCCACTTGACACTTATCTTTTTTAGAGAAAATATGTACTTGATATATTAAAAAACTAAAGATTACTTGGTACTAAGCCCACCATGACACCTCTTCCTAAAGGTTAGAAATTCAATACTGATTCTGGTTCAACATTTAATGAACCAAATAAATACAAAAGGCTCATAGGGGGGTTGTTGTATCTTAATATTACTAGACCTTATTTAACTTTTGTTGTTCGACAGTTAAGCCAGTTCATGAGTCATCCTATTTAAGTTCATTGGGATGGTGATCTTCATGTGTTTTGTTACCTCAAGCAAACTCCTTCAGTTGGCCTATTCTTTCCTGCTGATAATAATTTCTCTTACTGCATTTTGTGATGCTGATTGGGCAGCATGTTAAGATATTAGAAAATTAGTTATTGATTTTTATATTTTCTTGGGTTTTTCTCTCATTTCATTGAAGACCAAGAAGCTTTCTCATTTAAGTGCTAAAAGTTGAGTACAGGAATATGACTTTTTACAGTATGGGAACTGCAATGGGTTTCATATTTGTTGAAAGATTTTGGGATTTCTCCTCCTTTTCCTATTGACTTGTATTGTGATAATCAAACTATTTTATATATTGCAGCAAATTATGTTTTCCACAAAAGAACCAAGTATTTGGACTTAGATTGTCATTTGGTTTGCCAACAGTTTTAAAGTGGATTCATCAAACCTTTGCATGTCTCTTCTAGCCACCAACTTGTTGACATTTTTACTAAACTACTTTATGTTCCCCAATTTTCCTTATTATTGCCCAAGTTAGGGTTGGTTGAAGAAGTAAATGCTAATGCTATTAGTGATACGGTGCATATCACTTAGTTTCTGATGTAAGCAGTTATTGTGTTCTGTTATGGGTGAGTTTTTGAATTTTTATTTTTCCTCTATTTTGTTTTTCAAGTTCTTTATCTTAAATATTATATTATAATTATGAATCATCATATGATTCATTTTCTATCATCAATAAAAATAAGTTTACTCTTATTAGGTCTCGTTTTTCTTAGCTCTGAAAACTTGTTTAATTATTGTCCTCATCGTGCTTCAAAAGTGTAAAGGTAATTTGCTAAAAAAATAAAAGTAATGTGCACAATCATTCACATTAAGTGGTTAACATAAACACATGAAAATTATATTAAATATCACAATTTGGTATAGACAGATCTATTTTTGTTTTTCTTTGTCTTTTTTTTTTAACCAAAGTGAACGTAAGACAAAATAAAATAAATAAAAATAATAAAAAAATAATAATAATAGTAACAATAATGATAATATTATCTGAGTATGGACAAATTAAATCTCCCTATCCTCTTAGATTTTAACTATTACTATTATTATTACAAAAAAAAATTTGTTGCCAGACAAAATTAAAATATGACACATAAGCTTATGTCAGTAGATAGGTGTTTTACGTATTTTCGTTTAGTTTCATTTTCTACACTTAATTTTCCTCCATTAGACCTGGTGTATCTTTTAGTGTCTAATTTCATCTTAGACGGATTAGTGAGTAACTCCATTTTATATTTATTATAAATTATTATTACAGCAATCATGAGTACGATAATTTCTACTAAAATATATTAAAAATTCTGTTTAGAATTATAAGAGTTGAATTGATACAGAGATAGAGCATTTCAAAATGAAAATTGAAATGTATTATTTTAATTACAAATAAAATAATTTATATCACCTCAATTTTTTTGTTATTTTATTGTACTCTACATTTTCTCATATGATTTTATAAATAAAGTATATACTATGTCCCAAACATAGTCGTGGACACTAATCTACCTTCTAACCTCCTCACAAAAAAAGGCTCAAACTCTGAGTTCTACATGGAAGAGGGAGAAAAAAGAGAGAAAAAAAAAAATCAATTATAAGTTTAAAAAATAAGAACTATACAAAAGATTGTGCATAGAAGTATTAAGAAGTTTTATTACTACAACAGAAATATTAAGAAATTTCAGGTATTAATCTATTCTTTTAATATAATATTTAAAAAGAAAAACCAAATTATATCTTTAAATGGGCATAAAAACACTGTAAATATCTTTTCTTTTTTCCAAGTAACTCATCATTGCTCCTCAAACATTTAACAATTACTTCAATAGGTGGCTAAGAAGATCTACTTACATAGGTTGTACTTGTGATGGATATGCCATTACTTCAACAAGGGCTTGAAGCAATCTGGTGTATGCCTGCTCAAAGTTGGCAATGCAATTATATTATTTGAAATAAAAGAAAAAGTAAATAAAAAAAAAAAATTATTATTAGATATAAAAAATAGTAGTGCATGTCAGATAAAAGGCAGACGCTGAAGAACAAAAACTCTCCCCATCTCTGTTTACTAGTTTGTTTATGCAATAATAAAAACAAAAGGAGAAGAAACAACAATTCTGACACCCCAAAATGTAGCTAGAAGAGAGGCTACAGACAGATCTCATCACATGCATTTGCAGAATTCTCCATTCCTCAATTATCTAAAATCAGACTTTACAAACAATCATGTCTTTTTCCTCACACTGCATAGAATTTTACTAATATTCATGCCAAAATCGAATAAATGTTAACTCACAAGTGCTAACTGAGCTCAGACATCTGTAGCCAAGCACGAGTAAAAGTCGACAATCAAATATGACATAAAACTTGGCAATTGGTTATTATAACAATGAGCAAGATCTTAATGTATGGGGTAAGCTGATATATAAATGTCTCATTCCCCTTTTGTTGGTCCACATTGTAGAATAACTTTGTATATTACAACTACCGAGGTGGTGGTGAAGTTGATCGGTAGCTAGTAATTTATGCAGGCTGTCTTGTCTTAAACAGTAACTCAGAACTTTCAGGTAATCTCTTGTACATTTCATAAATGAGATCTTACCGAAGTTTCCCTCACAGATACACCTAAAACACAAGTAAACTACCAGGATGTAGCGGTATGTACATATCTATCGTACGACATTGGATACACCCACCAAGTTAATCGCTCTAACCAACAGATCACTTAGTATACCAACTAATACCCACTTGCCCAAGCTTTCAAGAAAGGCGATTAAAAAGCCAGTATTTTTTATGTCATTTCATCTTTATTTTACTGCTTCTGAATTTTGAGGCAAAGAAGCAGTTAGCAGCAGACGCATCCTCACGATAATATGAAGCTAAATTCATAAGGCATGAATCATAAACTCCCATATTAAATATTTAGTTACACTTTGTAGAGATTTCACACTTACTACATCATACAGCTTCAAAGAAATATTGGAAAATAGAAATTTTAGAGAAAAGCTGAGAGAATTCTCACAACTCTGTTCAAAGATATTTGAGCAGGCAGAAATAACTCCCATCCTCCTTCCAATTCAACAAAGTACATGAACAAGTGCTCAAGGTACAAGATAGGAATTCAAGATATGGATGATATGAAATAAGTTAAATTCCGAAGCTTGTACCACAGTTACAAATGTCAGATCAAGTGTCCTTCTCTTTAACTGCAGATGCAGATGACCTGAACCAGGGGATCCACACTGATGTTGTCTTCTGATATAGACTGTACGCTTCAGCTCTATATTGTTGCTTCAACATTCGTTCCTCCACAAGCAAAGTCACATAAGCTAAACACAAGCTATTGATTAGTGCTCCAACAACAGTCCATCCCTGTCCCAAGTTCCATGCAAATATAACCAGTCCCCACCACCATAATTGTTCCCCAAAATAGTTAGGATGACGCGAGTACTGCCACAACCCACTGTCTAAATTAGGCACCACTGGCTTTCCAAGCTGTTTTAGCTTGTTGTTTCTGGTTACAAATTCATGGAGCTGTGTGTCAGCGTAGTGTGCTATGACAATGCCACTGAAGCAAACCGACACAGCAACAAAATCCCAGACATTCAACGCCTTATCAATCGAATGAACCACATACAACGGGAGACAAATCCCAATAAGGAAAACCTGCATAATTCAGCATAAAGAGATTCTTTCAGGCAATTCATTGAACAGTCAGATTCATTTTCAGGTTCGTCATGTTATGTTAGCCTCAACCAGCTAGAAACAGTTCAAATTTACCTGCTGCGAAGCGTAGACGGCGAAGAATGAGACCCACCACCAGTGTTTGCCATATTGTCGGCGCAAATCGTAGAACCTCCAATCTTCCCTCGCACCCCACTGCCATTTTTCACGCCTGAAGTAATTGTGGGTGAGCCTGATACTCCACACCCACGTCATTACCATCACAATTCTAGATCTCCACCAATTGTACTGCGCCAAAGGGTGCGTTGCGTAGTAGTGAAGAAGCATCACCGGTATGACAGTCCAATACAAATCTATCATCTGCAAACAAGGAACCAGCAAAATTCATGTCGACCAGGAAAGAGATAAAGGAACTAGGAATTATAACTAAGAACAGATCAAATTAGACGAAGAGGAAGGAAATTAGTACTGACCCAGTGACTGGATTGGATTTGACCGATGACCCAGAAAAGGACGTTGACATTGAAGAAGAAGAGGATGTTGGCTAAGAGAAGAGGCTGGTTAAAGCACCACGAAAACAGAGAAGAGAGAAAGCTGGTTTCTCCGGTAGGAGACTGTTGGTAGTTGAGGAAGAAGACATAAAACAATATTGACGGAAGCGAAACGAGAAATGCAATCACCGCATTTTTCAAGTTACCGGCCATATCGAGATCTCTAACTGGCTTTTTTGGTGGCTGCTTACATTTCGAATCACAAGCCTACTTATATCTGTAGTTTTTGCTCTGCAACGTTCAAAAAGTAAATAGAAAAAGGACAACGGAGGAGTCTGGAGTGGATCTGTCCGTTGATGACGGAAGCGGTTGCCCACAGCTAATTGCCGATGGCCCATAGGCATGATTAGGTTTAGTTAATCATACTCATGATTTGATGAATTTTAAAATTTGGAATTTGTTTGGAGGAGTTTTCTGCAAAAAAAAAAAGAACAAAAAATGTCTGCAATCTGCAATCTTCGTGATTTCTGCTAAGATTGACACTGGTCAATTTTCACGGTCATACATTAAAACATTACTAAGTAATTTACTTAATAGTAAATAAAAAAAATAAAAAAATAAATAAATTCGCGTAGCAGAAAATAATTAATTTGAAAATTAACAGGAAAGGCAAATATTAAGATTTCAAATCATGTAAAAGCCGTTCAGAATCTGTGTACAATCATGAGAGTTGTTAACATGCTTACGGTGTCTTTAATGATGATGGTGATTTACGGCCGATAGCTGCAATCATATGCTCAAATGCCTATGTACATTATCATGGTCCCCCCATGGCCATCCTCTTATTCTTCATCTTCCAGACCTTCCAATCTCTCCCCAATCTACGCACATAGAAAGCAAAAACCTGCCCAACTCACTTCCAGCCACCTACTCTTGGGATGGAGGGGCCATCCATGGCTGCTCCCGCCGCTTCATAGGCTTAAAAGAAAGGGCAGAGGGTCCTCTTCAACATGCAATATTTTATTCCTACTTTAGCAGGCTTGGTTAGGTGCTGGAGAAAATTATGTTCCCTAAAGCATATCAGTGCTCGAAGCATCATGGGCTGTTCTGGTCATTCCGATCTCTCTACTTCAAATCAAAACAAGCTGGAATAACAGGTCAGATGCTCAAATTTATTTGCCATCCAGATTGAAGAAAGGGAACAAGAGAGAAAAAACAAAAACAGAAAACCTGAGATAAAATGCAGTGACAGATAAGCAGCAACTCTATTCTCCAACCAAAAAGAAAACTGAAGGTACAGATCCTGCCTACTAGAAGAATTACACAGAGCAGACTACAGACTACTAAAAGAAACATTAACAAGCTTCAGGAATGACAAATTTTAATCTGGAAAGACTGAAAAAAAGAAACAATAATAACAAAAAAGCACTGGAAAGGGATAACAGGATTAGCAGTTGATGAGACAACCATCTTGCAGCTCTCACAAAGGTCTGCCGCTTTTTGCTATGTCATTTCTGATCGCTCTTTGTATCAATTTGACAACAACAAACTGCAACACGGACAGATGAGCCAGTTTAATTGATTTTATAACAAATTAGTCAACTGAAACTTCAAGTTACAGAAGTCCAGAAACTTTACCTGAACCGCAATTATGAGTGGGATCAACATCTTTCCCCTGTCATCTGAGTTAGACCCATCTATCAACTTCTTGTCAACCACAATAGCTTTGCTCCTACTAGTTGCAACATCTACAATTCCTTTTACCAAGTTTGGAACCCAAGTTTCACCATTTGGAAGAACCTACATCACCACAGGAAGCAATATTTTCAAGAACAAAACCACCAAAACAAGCAAATCATCCACAATTTTAGGAAAGGTGGTACAGACCTTTTCGTCATTCTCATTTTTATTGCATCTCCCACTGTTCTCAACCAAAATAACTGGAACAAAAGAGTCCTACAAGAAACAAAAATGAGCAGCAACCAACTGAGCTTAGCAGTAATCGGATGAAGTAGCAGTTCTCTCATGTAGCAGTCTATTCTGTTTTTTCATCCAAGTTCATGAGCCGATAAGGCTACCAAAAACTGAATCTCCTATGATGCCATTACGAGTACAAGTCACTATCTTTTACATGTCTACCCATAAAACTCCACTTTCCAGACATTGATCTATGCAACTCCCTAATTTTACATTTTAAACGTTTCACAGGATTTGAAGCGAAGACATGTTTTATTATCCATGTTTAATATCTTCTAGCCGCAATTTTGTATAATCTGATTTAGACAAAAAAAAAACTGTCACCATGTGATAAAATTTTGTTCCTCCACTGATTACAATCTGCCTTAGGTTCAAGAATGAAAACACAGGCCACATCCCACTCAAAATTATCAACTTATCCAGGGTAGAATTCAAGTGGAAGAATTTCAGTTGGAAAAATATAGGCAGCACATGGAGAAAATAAAGGATAAAGGTAAAAATCTACAGAAAAATGGCTTTCGATATTAGTCAGTGCAACTGGATTAAATGGTTCATCTCTTCAGCCTCCTTTGTTGTTCTGATTAATGGGGGACCTTGCAGGTTCTTCAAGCCCTCCTGAAGCAAGGTAACTCTCTATCCCCCTTTCATGTTATTTTGTTCATGGAAACTTTCAACAAGATGACCACCAATGCCATAGAGAAAAATCTGTTTCAGAGGAGGAGGATGGTGAGAATGAGCAGGTGCTGGCCCATCTCCTCTTTGCTACTCTCTTTTGTAAGCAAACATAGCCTCATTCATCTATATTAGATGCCTCCTGTTGCATTTTAGGCTCTCTGCTTAGAGATCCATCTAGACAAATCAGAATTGGTCCATCTGGAGGGTGTGCTTGCTCAAATTTGGAATCCCATGATCAGTAACATGGAAACATCGCTAGCAGTTGGAAAAGAAGATATCTCCCTAGAGGTGGCAGATTTACTCTCATTAGAAATACACTCTCTAATCTCCAAATTTATTCAATTTTTCTGTTCTCCATGCTCATCACTGGCTAAAAGCCTTGAAGAAATCCAGTGTCGTTTCCTTCAGAGCAACTTGGAGAAGAGAGGAATTATCACCTGGTTAATTGGAAATATATCAAACAGCCTATATCTGCTTGGGGTTGAAGTATTTGATCTCTCTCCCTATTTAATATGGCTCTCGGGCTCGGTGATTATGGAGACTTCATATGAGTCAAAGGAAGCTGTGGTGGAAGATGATTAGGACTAGATATGGCCTCATGAAAGGGGATTGAATGACAGGTATGAGTAATAATGCCCAAGCTTTGAGTTCATTGAAAAACATTATAAATAATTGTCATGAGGATTCTGACCTTATTAATTCCAAGGGCTGGATATGGATTTAGAATAAACTTATGGGAGAACTTGTAGTGCGGCACCTCTTGAAATATCCTTTCCAATCACTTTTAAACTAACTTTTAAAAAAGAAGCTAAAGTTTGGGATTGTTTTGAGCAGATCAGGGTTGTGTTTCCCAGCAGATTACCTCTCTAAATACATCTACAAAGAAGATTAAAAAATTGTAAAAATTTGAGAAAAATATTTACTTTATTTTCTACTAGATTTTTTATGTTAAAAATGATAAATATATGTATAAAAATTTCCAAATACAAATAAGAAAATTTTATTATAGAAATTATAATATTATGAGAGAAATTAATGGCAGAGCTATACACAAAAAATATCACGGTTATTTAGGTAATAAAATATTCGTGTCAATACTTCTCTCAAGTTGATGCAAAGATATCGCACATGCCCAATTTGCATATCAAGTTGTAAAGAATTTTGTTGCAAAATCTTTTGGTGAAAATGTCTGTCACCTGATTGTTAGAAGACACATGATGTAAGCATAAGAGTCACCACCACTTTTTCTTTTGACTGACGCGGTAACTCACTGTTCTCCGATATGTGAATGATTTGGACATATAAAATGTTTATGCAAAAAAAAATAATTTCTTTTAACATTTATTCTAATAGTTTAACCTATATTCCTACCTGAGCTTGTTGATCATCGATAACAACATTATGACTTCGTTTTGATCAATGCTTCCGA